TGCATCGGCAGGGGGAAGAAAAGCAGCGGCAGCCGGCGCTGGGCTCCTGTGGCTTCCTCCACGCCGAGGCCCGACTGCCTCGCGAGTGACGTGTCCTCAGAGGAGACATTGTGTTTCTGAACGCAGCCATCTCTCTTCCCTGGAGACACCGAGTGAGCACAAATCCCATCCTGCCGGTGCGGGGCCAGGGCCTTCGGAGGGGGCCGGTGAGCTCCATCCCAGCAGGATGCAGCAGAAGAAACTTCTTCTTGGACGCATCAAGATGAGGCAGAATAAAACATTTTAGGATGGGAAAACTCGAATTGTGTCTGCTGACACCGAGCTGGACACCTCCTTTTTGCTCCTAATACCACTCCCAGCACCACCAGGGATGCAAAAGGGTCGAGTCCCGAACCCCCTCCCCACCTGACAGTAGTTTTGGGAGACTGCACTCCTTCCCCACTAATCAGCCCCAAATATTACTCTCTCCCCAGCTGGATCAGACACTGAGAGGCCACTGAATGCGATCATACATGGATGTTTGAAGCACAGAAGAGCCGAGACACGGCAGGGGATGGGCTGTGCACACAGAAGAAGGATGCGGGATGAATTGTTGATGCTGCAAGTTGGCCGACTGCTCTCCAGCACAGCTCCTCTGCTCACCCGATGCTCTCTGTCTCCATCCAGACTCCGTCAGTCATCCCTGGGGAAGATGAGGATGGGGTTTGGTCTTGTTTGTACATCCACCCCGGGGGGGGGGGGGATTTCAGCTGGTCTGGCTATGTGCTGGTCTGCGGTTGGACTTGTCCATTTTTGAGGGTCATGTTGGGAGAACATCACTCGACCGGGGCTGCGCAGGCACCCTGGGCAGCAGGGGAAGGAAAAGCTCAGGTTGCAGAGGAAATTTTAGCCACGGTCTTTGTGCTGAAAGGAACAGGCTTTTCTCCCCCTCGCAGGTGAGTCCTGAGTCGGGGCTTGAGGAGGAGAAGGGAATTTGCACGTCAAGGTCTTCACATCAGCATGATCCCTGGGGAAGGCTCCTCCAGCCCCACAGCGGGCTGTCGCTGGCTGTTTGCCTTCTCTAATGCGCCAAAGGACATTTTAAAGCAATTTCCCCTGCACAAATAAATACAAAACCAAACTGCCATTCCTCCTGGTTTCTTCTCCTCTGACATCTCTCTCCCTTTCATCCCTGTGACATCTTTCTCCAGTAAATCCTTCCCTTACGTCTCATTAGAGACTGTTCCTGGACAATTTGCAGCTGTGACAACCCGGGAGAAGCCCGGGGCCCATCTGCCCGGCTGACAGCTCGCATACGCACCCGGCTTTTTGCCATGTCTGCGCTGTAAAATGGCTTCGAAAGCAGGTTGATGGCTGGCCAGCCCCACGCCATGGCCACGAAGGTCTCCCGCCTTCCCTTCCCAGGGTTTTCCCGGGATGCTGGACAAAACGCTTCACCTCTCACCCCTGCTTTGCTCCCCCAAACACGCTCCTCTCTCCCCACCGTGGTTTCGTGGCTTTGCGAACCCACAGCGTTAGGGTTTTGCAAGAAAATCTGCAAAAGCGTTACAGTCCCCACTCCCTGGATAACTCCACACACACACACACACACACACACACACAGACACCCCTGCCCCGGGACGCGGTGAGGATGAAGGCGGTGAAATTAAAAATAACCGGCTTTGCCGGGAGGCGCGGGTGGCGGAGGGCGCGCTGCCGGAGCTGGCACGGCTCGTCCCGGCGGATGCCTCCGGGCACACGATTTCAAGGGCACGTCACGCTCCAGCCGGGCGGCTGCCAGCAGCCCTCCCCAGCGCCGGCTGCGCCGCTCTCTTGACTCCTTCCAGCGATTTCTTTTTTTTTTTTTAGGCAGCTAATAGCTCCGAGGGAGTCCCGGCGTAACGAGAATTGGCAGAAGCGAGCAGATATTAGGTTTGTTCGCCACCAGTTTTAAATCATTTAGCATAGCAGAAAGACCGTGTTTCTACAAGCAATATGTGCCGCTTTTGCTCGCGCGGCGGTTCCTGTTGGAAGGGTTTAGTGATGAATGGGGACGGTGGTGCCCGCGGGGGCAGCGGTGCCGCGTCCGCGGTGATGAGAGAGGGATGAGTTGGTCGGAAACTGGAGCTGAGGATTCGAGATGAAGGCCACCCCCATCCATGGGAGCTTCCACCGGCTGTGGAGCGGGACTCGTGAAGAATTTACAGCCCATTGAATGCGGCCTGTGCCTTCGGTTTAAAAATAAAGCCTTAAAAAGACAATTTGGGGAGCTGGACCGGGGATGCTCTTTGCACAGCGGAACATGGTTCCTCGGGGATTGCTGAGAAAAGTCACGGGAGAAGTTAAACTTTCACCCCGGCAATTATTGTAAATCTCTCTGGGCAAGGCACAGACCTAAAATTAGCCCTCAAATCCTTTTGAAGGTTTGGATTTTTCACTAGATTTTTCAAGTGACTGACCAGCGGCATTGCAAACCACATTTCCACGCTTGGAGCCCTGGTTTTCTTTTTAATTGCAGCCCTACGAGGTTACCCAGCTTTTCATCGCAAGCAAGGACAGGCTTCCCAACCTTGTTTTCCACCTCCTGAAACCAGCAGCAACCCACAGAGGGAAGGGAGAAGAGAGCCTGTTATGTTCCAAAGCATTTGCAGTTGCAAAGTGTTTGTCCTGGAAGAAAACTGATGGTGAATAGGTAATAACTGCTGCGCCCATAAAGGAGCTGAGACGGGGCTGGTGGGTTCCCATGCCGCTGTGTTTTGCTCTTGAGTGATGTTTAATAAAAGCTGGGAGTTTAGTAGAAGCTGGGTGTTTAGTAGAAGCTGGAAATTTAGTAAAAGCTGGGATGCTGGGCTTTCTGCTGCTCGGATGGTCACTGAAATCGAAGAGTGGCAAAGAACAGGGTGTGATGTGAGCGGTTCCCCCATAGCACCGTGCACGAGCAGACGCCGGGTGAGGATCTCCCCTGCCCACTGAAGCCAGCTGGTTCGCACGGGTCGGCACGCTCCAGCCTGGGAGAGCAGACGGGGAGCCCGGGTCCTGCTGCAATGCGCCGGGAGAAGACACCCCACGTTCACGGCTCCACATCAGCCTTCCAGAAGCCACAGTTTCCCAACTCTTCCCACCTCCGCCGGCTCTCTGAGGCGGCTCAGCCTCCGTCACAGCATTCTGGCTTTGCAGGGTGATGTCTGCGGGGTTTGCAGGTGCCGGGGCCACGAGCCGGGGGAGCACAGGGTGCCGTGGGCGTCAGCGCGCCCTACCAGGCTCTCTGCCCCTTTTGCCGACCCAGCCGGGTCCTCTACCCACCCGGTGATGCCAACATGAAATCCAGAGTTGTCCTTGCCATCGCTGCCCTTTCCCAGGGAGGATGGTGGGGATGGTCCCACGGTGTGGGCAAGGCAGAGCAGGGCATCGTCCGCATCCGTGGCTGCCGGACCAGCGGCGTGCGGCTCCCAGCCCTGCTGGCAATCGATAGCGAGTGCAATGAAACCCTTAATGAAATTCCAGCCTAAGAGACTATTGATTGTGTACTTTCTTTAAAAATGTATATGAATGGGAGAGAGGCTTTTTGGAGGAAAGGCTGGGAAAGGGGGGGGGGGGGGGTGGGAACACACACCATCAGCTGCTGCAGGAGATGGGCAAACACAGTCTGTGCGGGGTAAGCCGCGCTGAGCAGTGAGCTCCAGCCTCTCGGTGAGCATCGATTCATCCTCAAAAACACCCCTGGGAAGGGAAAATACAGCCAGCCAGAAGCAGGAGGGTGGGCATTCACCCAAAATCATCACAAAACCGGTGATGATGAAACCAAGGAGAGAAGTCAAGAGTCCATGCCCCGATCGTGCCCCCTTAGACAGCACTTTTGCAAATCCCCCTCGCCCCGTGTTTTACACTGCTGCCTAAAACACGCAAAAAGAGGTTTAGGAAGACGCTGCACTCTTCTGCTTTAGAGGTTTTTGGGGGAAGAAAAAGCAAACAGCGCATCACTGCACAACAGCCCTACAACCAACCTCCCTCCTTGTTTCTGCACCCTCAGAGTGCCCCCAAAGCAACCTCTCCCAAAATCTCACCGGGTTACTCCTTTGCGGGGTAAGAGGATGGCAAGGAAGCATAATAAATAAATAATAACAGTAATAAAAACCCACCCCCTTCCCCGCCCCTTACATAACCAGCATTGTCCTAATCCTACAGGTGCTTCACAGAAGTAAAAAGGATTTGTTCCTCCTGCAAATCCTTTTTCTTTTTGGTTGGGCTTTTTTGTTTGGGGTTTTGGGTTTGGTTTTGGGTTTTGGTTTGGTTTTTTTTTTTTTTTTGGTGAGTCATCCTTATCCGCCTCGTGGACATGCCGCAGGGAGGCCCCAGGGTAATGTGACCCCTGACTAAATCACTTAAACCTCTCTGGGCTTCAGTTCCCCTGCGGTAAGATGGGGATTATAAATCTGTCCTGACCCCCTTGGCAGAGGAAGGTGCTCGGCGATGGGCTGTGTAAATATGTCAGCAGGACAGCGAAGGCGA